TTTTTTTTTTTTTTTTTTTTGGTAGAGATGAGGTCTTGTTGATGTTGCCCGAGCTGGTCTTGAATTCCTGGGCTCAAGCAGTCTTCTTGCCTTGGCTTCCCTAAGTGCTGTCTCACCCTGTTGCCCTGGCTGGGGTGCAGTGGTATGCTCCTGACCACCGCAGCCTCGACCTGCTGGGCTCAGGTGATCTTTCTGCCTCAGCCATCCAAGTAGCCGCATCTACAGATATGAACTAGCATGCCCAGCTAATTTTTTGATATATTGTAGAGATGAGGTCTCACCATGTTGCCCAGGCTGGTCTCGAACCTGTGGGCTCAGGCAGTCCTCCCAACTCGGCCTCCCAAAGTGCTGGGATTATAGGCTTGAGTCACCGCGCCTGGCCTTTGTTGCATTTTCAAGTGGGGTCTTGCCATGCCACAAATAATGGTCAGAATTTGCATTAGACTTTGCAGTCTCATCTAGACTAGGCTGTGTGCCAGATGTTGGTTGTGGAAGCTGACGTTGGAGCATATGGCTTTGTGTCTGTGTCATGTGAACTTTCCACCTGTAATGTGAAGTGGAGATCGCAGTTCTGTGATGAGGACCTGAATCTTGGGAGGTTTCTGATCTGGTTGAGACCATGTGGTTTGGGTGGAGTTAGGACTTTTAACTGGGTGTTCGTGAATCGAGCTTCCATTTCCGCACAGTCGTCTATGTGACTTCCCAAGCCGGGTAGCTCCATTGTCTGTCCCGGTCAAGAGAGCAGGAGCACAGGGGATGAAGCTTCTCAGACCTTGGGCAAGGGAAGAGTTAGCATTGGAGCAGGAGCTAAAGGAATGCCTGGCAGCGATCTGAGATGGGAGAGAAGGGCCAGGACTGCGTCTCGGTCTCTTTGATCTTTGTGGGGGTTTCATTCTTAGATTTCTACTGAAGAGGAATCCAGCAAAAGGAAAAAGAGCCAGAAGGGGCCAGCCAAAACAAAAAAGTTGAAGACCAGAAAAAGAGAAAGCAGCAAGTCTGTAAGAGAGAAGTTTGAAATCCTTAGCGTTGAGGTTTGTTGAAGTTTGATTTTCCTTTAAACTACCTTGGCTGCTTAAGTCTGTGTGTTCTCTCTTCCCGGTTTCCTTTTTTATTTTTTAACTCTTCCCCCTTCTTGTATGTATATCTCACCTGGGTGTCTGTAGAGATTCTTGCAGTTTGTGCTGAGAACTGAGCTTTGTTTCCTTTTTATTTGAAGCTGCTGTGGGTTTTGTTTGTGTCCTTGTGAGACTTAGGTTTTAATAGATTCAGGGGTCAGAACTGATAGTGCCTTTAGCTATCATCCTAATCTTACCTGGTCATTTCATAGATGTGAAGCCATCTCAGAGCAGTGAGGTGGTCTGTATTCCTTACATTTCTTTTCTCTTTTTTGAGTCAGAGTCTCACTCGCCCAGGCAGGAGGGCAGCGGGGTATGCTCACGGCCACTGCAGCCTCGACCTGCTGGGCTGAGGTGATCCTTCCACCTGAACCTTCCATGCAGCTGGAACCACAGGCATGTGCCACCACACTTGGCTAATTTTTTTGATTTATCATAGAGATGAGGTCTCACCATGTTGCCCAGGCTGGTCTCAAACCCATAGGATTACAGGCATGAGCCACCGTGCCCAGCTCTTTTTTTTTTTTGAGTCAGAATCTTGCTCTGCTGCACAAGTTGGAGTGCAGTGGCATGATCACAGCTCATTACAGCCTCACCCTCCTGGGCTCGGGTAGTCTTTCTGCCTCAGCCTCCCATGTGCCTTGGACTATAGGCACGTGCTAACACTTCTAGCTAATTTTTTGATTTGTATGTAGAGACAGGGTCTTGCTATGTTGCCCAGGCTGGTCTCCCAACTCCTGGGCTCAATCTAGCCTCCTGCCTTGGCCTCCCAGAGTGCTGGGATTACAGGTATGAGCCACCGCGCCCAGCCAAAGTTTTAGATGATAAATTCCAATATATATTAGTTGTAAAAAGAAAAAAAGTCAAATGATTTTAAAGGGAAAGATTCAGACTCAGCTGAATTCAGATTCAGTATTTTATTTCAAATGATACTTCAAAAATGTTTAACTTGGTGCTGACATCAGAAAACTAAAAATTTTACCTAAGCTTGAGCTCTGGCATCTGGTAAAAATTGGAAAGGGCTGTCAACCCAAGGCCGTGTTCCCTCGTGTTTGTCGTGACAAAGAGCTGAGTAGTGGTTGGGCCCTTTGGACCCCGGCATGTGCCCTGCAGACTGCCCGTGTCTCCACTGGCCTGCTTCCTTCGTTGTGGTGTCTGCCAGCCACTTGGGTCTGGTTGCTTAGAATAAAGTGAGTGGCAGATGTGTCCTCTGCCTCCCAGTGTGCTGGCGCTGTTGTGTGATGGGGCTCACTCGGCTGTTCGAGAAGGATGCCGACAGGCACCGGCTCCGTGTCATTTGTGCTTTTTGCGACAGAATTCCTGTGGTGTTGAATGCTGGGGTGGGCCTGGAAGCTGTGGCCCCGGCCTGCCCTCTCGGGCTCTCTTCCTTACGGTGCACGCTTTGCCTTCTCCCCAGTCCCTGTGTGAGGGAATGCGGATTCTGGGCTGTGTGAAGGAGGTAAACGAGCTGGAGCTGGTGGTCAGTCTCCCCAACGGCCTCCAGGGCTTCGTGCAAGTGACGGAAATCTGTGACGCCCACACGGAGAGGCTGAAGGAGCAGCTGGCGCAGGAGGAGCCCTTGAAGGTGAGGGCGGAGCCAGAATCTTGAGCCAAGGGTGAAGGCGCGGAACAAGGCGGAGGCTCTGGGAAGGGGACCTGGGGGGAGGTCTGGGGAAAGAGGCCACCAGGCGAAGGAGGAGGGGAGGCCCCCCGAAGCGGCAGCAGGTCAGGTCGCGGGAAAGCTGGCGGGGCGGGGAGAGGAGGACGGTGCCGGGGCAGGGGCCGCGCGTGGCGTGGAGCCGGGGGTATGCTGCCTGGTGGGCCCTGCGGAGGCCTGGGCGTTAGTTCTGGAATCAGCGGGAAGCCTTCCTGGTGTCTGGCCGGGTGCCACGGTCAGCAGGCACACAGGTGGAAGGGGTGGGCAGACGCCCAGTGCCGGTCAGGAGGCTGCTGCGGTCCAGCTCCAGGGCACTGGCGGCTGACTTCAGGATGGGCCAAGCACCCAGGAGGAGAAGGCGGTTCGGGGGATGGATTTGGCGTGGCGGTGAGGCAGAGGGGCGGCGGGGATGAGCGCTGGGTCTCCACTGTGCGTGACTTGACGGTCGGCCCTGCCTTCCTGGGGTAGGTATCCCTAAGAGGGACCTGGACTGGGAGGGAGAGTGGGGGCTGGGCTTGTGGTGTGAGGTCAGCATAGCTGAGGCATCCAGCCGGAGGCTGATTCCAGGTCGGGGGCCTGGCCGGAGCCGTCCGTGTGTGCAGTGGCCGCCGAGGCGCGGGGAGGAGCCGCTTGTCGTGCCCTCAGTGAAGCCCGCGGTGCGGCGCAAGCTGGTGTTGTGCCGCAGTTGCTGAGCAGGAAAACTGCTGTGGGAAAGGGCGGGCCGGGCCTGGGGAACCAAGGAGGAAGGCTTCCGGGTGGCAGGCAGGGCAGCAGTGGGGCTGCTGCTTCGCGTTCCCCGGTCAGGGGACCGGGACAGCCAGCCGTTCAGCCTGCGGCACCCACTGTAATGCTGCTGGCGATGGGGGGGCGGCTGCAGTGGGCGGGTGGGCAGGCACGCAGCAGAGACGGTGCAGTTGCGGCTGAGCAGGTATGCCTCGCCCACCCTCTGGGTTCCCGGAGGCGAGCGAGACCCTTGTCACTTGCGTCCGCAGGACCTCCTCCACCTGCCGGAGCTCTTCTCCCCCGGGATGCTGGTGCGGTGTGTGGTGAGCAGCCTGGGCGTCACCGAGAGAGGCAGGAGCAGCGTCCAACTCTCTCTCAACCCCAGGAGCGTCAACCGGGTGCTGAGTGCTGAGGTGCTGAAACCTGGCATGGTACGTGCTGCGCCAGGGTGGGGGAGCCGGGCACCCTCCCCCTGCCCAGCCCCCAGTCCCCTCCCTGTCTTCGTCCCTCCTGGCCCACTCCCCGCCCCCACCCTTGGGAGGGCGCTCCTGGCCACCTTCCACCTCTGGCTTTACTGTGACCCAAGCAGGGCTTCTCTTTCTGGAGGGAAGGTCCCTAGGTCCTTTGAGTACTTAGTGGACACGGAAGATTCGGCTCCGATTATCACCTTGGGGGGGTGAAAGGGAAAGCTGGTGGCCAAGAAGAATGTCCCAGAGCTTAGTGGGCACTTGCGGGTTCTGCATGACGCTGTCCTTGCCCAGGCTGCTCTGCGGGGGTGCTCGGGCTGCTCTCGGGCCGGACTGGGCCGTCTGGGCAGTTGGCTGTCAGCTGTACTGATGGGCGCCCTCCTACTGAGTGTCCAGGCCTGTGAAGATCTGGGAAATGAGCGCTGGCTTGGCGCTGCCAGCTAGTAGGTGCTAGGATTAGTCGCCCTGGTGTCCGTGCTCCTGTGACAAGAAGGGAGACCCAGGTGCTCTACAGGGCTTGATCAGTAGTGGGGCTGGGGAAAGATCTGGAAGTTTTGGGCAGATTTTGTCAGAGAGAGATGGTGTAGAAGTAGGTTTAGTGCACGCAGCTGACGGGTCCAGAGCTTGCTGAGTGGCAGTTGCTGCCTCAGGCCTCTTGGCGGAGGTGGTTCTCAGCAGCCCTGAGGCAGGTGGGCATCGTCCCTCTTGCACATGCGGAAAGTGCGACTTGGCAAGGAGCTAGCAGGGGCCACACTGCTTCTTATACGGTAGAGAGGAGGCTGGTGTCTCGGAGGTGCTGGGAAGAGACCCCGTGATTCTCGCACTATCGTGGCCCGGGGCGAGCGTGGCCCAGCCGAGCCGTGCCTCCCTCCTGTAGCATCAGAGTCCTCCCCAGCCTGAAACTCCAGGCGAGCGTCTCCTCTCTGTTCTGCCATCCAGCTGTGTGTAATACTCACTGTCTAGTAACCGCAAGGTTCTTTCAGCCCTGGGGTCGTTGAGGTTGGCATCTGTCTTCTAGCGGGATTGTGGTGTAAGGTTAAAGCTGGGGCTGGGTGAGGCGGGAGATCGAGGTGCATGCTGGGAGTTACGTCTGTTGTAGCCCGTTACCTCTGACCTGGAACTTTCGGGGATGTTTCTCCCCCCAGCTGCTCACAGGTACCGTGTCCAGCCTGGAAGACCATGGCTACCTAGTGGACATTGGTGTCGACGGGACCAGAGCCTTTTTACCACTGCCCAAAGCCCAGGAGTCTGCCCACCCGAGGAACAAGGGTGAGGGAGACAGGGTGGGGGTGGTGGTTGCAGGTGCCTCTGTGATGAGTCCCTGACAGAATGGTGACCCTGGGGCCGTGGCTTTGGTGAAATCCGAGGTTAGTCCTGGCTGACAGGAAGGGGACCAGGGAGTGGCAGGCTCTCCCTGGGGTCTGATGGGCTAGAAGATTCCACTGGGATGCGGGCCCCCGGGGCCTTGGAAGCCGCAATCGCTGGCCTGTTGAGTGAACGTGTTTCTGGGGGTGCTTGAATTCCAGATCTGTCAGGGCAGCCTCCTTTCCTCCTTGGGGCGGGCCCTGGTGGTTGGGAACCCGGGGCTGTGAGATGCTGCCGGGTAGGTGGGCTGTGGCTCTTTGCCCGTGTTGCCTGGGCCAGGCTGCGTCCTTCTCATGGAGGCATTTTCCTTTGGGGGCTGGGTTGGGTTTCCAGGTGCCAAACTGAAGGTGGGGCAGTACCTGCACTGTGTCATCGAAGAGGTGAGAGGCGGTGGCGGCGTTGTCACACTGTCGGTCCGTCCCTCGGAGTTGTCTGCGGCTATCGCCACCGAGGAACAGAGCTGGACCCTTCACAACCTGCTGCCAGGGCTGGTGGTCAGAGCCCAGGTGCAGAAGGTGAGTCGTTGGCATTGCTGCTGCCTCTAAAACAGGGAGTGGCTGCTGGAGTGTCACCGGTACAGTCCCAAGTGGCAGTGTCATGGGCAGCAAGTCTCCTGTGGCTGTTGAGTGCCTGGAGTGTGGCTGGGGCCACATGGCGAAATGATAATATTTTGGAATGTCGGGTTAAGGAAACCATTCATAAAGCCCATTTTGTCTGTCTCTTTGTAGCTGTAAAAATGTGACTGCTGAAAGCCTAGCAGTATGTTTGTGGCTGGGCGCTTTTTCCGTTGGACAGAGCTGATCTAGAAGCCAGAGGGTGTTAAAGGCTCCTCAGAGAGCTGGCCTGTCCCTCCAGCTTGAACTCTTACCTTGTCTTTTGAACTTTTCCTCTGTGCTTTTGAGTAATAAGCCTCTGCTGATGTCTCTGGGATATCAGCTCTGAGCCTTGGGCTTTAACTGCTTACCAAGATAGGTGAAGGGTTGGCTTTCTCCATCTTTCTGTTCCCTCCTCACACTCCCAACATAGTCATATTATATTTGGGGGTGTGTTGGTGTTCAGTGCCCGACTTTGTGAGTGTTGCTTGCAGTGGCTTTCTTCCAGGTGTCGGTCGTCAGCCTTGTTTTGTCATTTGCTGGCTCTCTTCCTGCCCTCTGCTGCTTGCTGTGTCCCGTTTTCTTCCTCTCGTCCATTCTCCCTGCCTGCAGTCCCCCTGGGAGGCTGTCAGTTACTCCTCCAGCTGCGGCCTGGCTGCTCCGGGGCCCATGTCCCCTCCCGTCGGCATCGCCTCGTTCTCTGGTCCCCGTGTTCTTCGGTTTCCTCCCTCACCCCAGCGCGGCATTATCCAGAAGCAGCCCAGCCGAACTTTGGTTCCTCATTCTGTGTCTGCTTAGGCCGCCGCACTGGCGGTGGGGAGCCGCAGAGCTGACAGGAGCCCTGGGGCCTGGGGCAGGGCCAGTGGCCTCCAGTGGGGTTGTTGGAGGTCTTCTCTGGCACATTCGATTTCTCTGGAAAGGATCTAGCAGCCTCCCCAGCAGGGTCTCGGCCTGGCTTGTTGGGGCGAGCTGGGAGAAGGGGAGGGTGTCTCCATGGTGACACGACTCTTCGGAGTGGTTTTTGCCTGTGCTTGGGATTCGTGCTCGTGTGTGTTTCATTCCTGGTACAGCGTTTGTGGAGCATGCACGTCCTGTTTCCTTGGAAGCGGAGGCATGGAGCCTGTTGGGCCAGGGGCCCGTGGGCCTCTGACTTCCGTCACCTTCCTCAAGCTTCCTCAAGGAGCTGGTCACTGTTGCCCTGGGACCCCAGGGTCTGGCCACCGTGCCAGAGGCTCCCCGTGGCAGGCATTTGAACCTTGCCTTCTTGGCCAGGTGCATGTCTGAGGCAGCAGCAGTTTGCCTATGCTGTCGGGCTGTCAGTGCCTGGGCTTGTGCAGGGCTCCTTCCGTCCCTCAGGGAGCTCCTCGGGGAGATGGATGTCCTCGCCAAGGCTGGGCGGTGGGCCTGCCAGACAACCGTGTCTGCATGGTTCTTTCCCAAGCCTTATGGGAAGAAGGCAGATGCGGGTTGGCTGGGGCTGGAGAGAGCGCGGAGTGTCTGCTGCGAACAGTGCCGCCCACCCCTGCTTCCTCCCGAGAACGCCTCCTGACTGCCCTGAGTGTTCCCAGGTGACTCCATTTGGCCTCACGCTCAGCTTCCTTACCTTCTTCACTGGTGTGGTTGACTTCATGCACCTGGACCCCAAGAAAGCCGGGATGTACTTCTCACAGCAAGCGGTAAGCAACCTTGTGCCTGGAGTGTTTTGACACCTCCACGTCCCATCCACGTGTAGGGAGGATGTGGGGGCGTCGCGAGGAGTGTCCTGAGGGAGTGTTAAAGGTGGTGCAGGGGAGGAGGCCGTGCTCAGAGTGTGTTTCATGTCTGTCCGTGTGGTTTGATGTTTTTCCCCTTTGGTAGTAAGTTTTTGTTTTCATGACTTGAGGCGTTTTAGAAGAGTATTTAACATAGGAGAATATGATATGCTGAAACAGAAACAGGTGATTTGTAAAGTCTTATAGGTAGTATAGATCCAGTTTTGAAAAAAAGCGAGAGTGCTCCTGGTTAAAATGCTGAAGGATTTTGCTGTCAGACGTTCGTGAGGGCCTTGGGGTGATTTCTGCTCTTACCTTAAGTGTTCATCCAGTGTTCTACACGAACGTGGGTGTTTAGGAAGTAAATCCTGATTTATGTCATTCAACAATCATAACAATCCTAAAATTTCTTTCTTTGTCTACACAGTAGTTCATCCTATGGATGCTCTAGAGAATTTTTTTTTTGAGTTGGAGTCTCACTTTGTCGTCCAGGCCGGATGAAGTGCAGTGGCACGCTCATGGCCGTCGCAGCCTCGACCTGCTGGGCTCTGGCCTCAGCCTTCCAAGCAGCTGGAACTACAGGCGTGCACCACCGCACCCAACTGATTTTTTGATTTATTGTAGAGACGAGGTCTCGCCACGTTGCCTGGCTGGTTTCGAACCCCTGGGCTCAGATAATCCTCTCACCTCCACCTCCAAAAGTACTGGGATTACAGGTGTGAGCAACCGTACCTGGCTGAGAATTTTTTTAAAGTGAAAATAGGTTTTTCTAGCATCTTGTGATAATAGTGTTAACATTCTGTTGGGTTTCATTCCAGTAATTTTTTTCTCCTTGCGGTCGTATTTGTGTACAGAGTTGAGATGTTTTACACGGTTTTGTTTTTTTTTTGAGTTGGAGCCTCACTCTGTCACCCAGACTGGAGTGCAGTGGCTGGTCCCGGCCACTGTAGCCTCAAACTGCTGGGCTCCAGCGATCCTTCTGCCTCAACCTTCCAAGTAGCTGGAACTACAGGTGTGCACTACCACGCCTGGCTAATTTTTTTATTTATTGATTTTTTTGATTTTTTTATTTATTGTAGAGATGAGGTCTCGCCAAGTTGCCCAGGCGGGTCTCAAACCCGCAGGCTCAGGCAATCCACTCACCTCAGCCTCCCAAAGCACGTGATTATAGGCTGAGCCACCGAGCCCAGCTGTTTTACACGTTTTAACCTTGTGGGCAGGTCAGGCTTTTTCTGGCGTGTTTCAGATGAGCCTTTGGTATAGGGACACCAGTATCTTGTTAGTGTGTTCGCCCCTGGGTGTTTGCCTGACCCCAAGTAAGTGTTGATTTAATCAGACAGGGTTCCCCAGAATGTCTTGTGGGACCCATCCACAGGTTGTGTGACCACCTAGGCTGATTTTAGTACTTTAACGCTGTTGGCGCTTTCCAACCCTCTCCAAACCCAGGGGGGCCTGGCCCTGGGGTCTCTAAGCACCTCTTCCTGCTCACATTGCCCTTGTTCCGTCTAGGTGAGGGCCTGTCTCCTCTGCGTCCATCCTCGAACCAGAGCTGTGCGCCTGAGCCTGCGCCCCATCTTCCTGCAGCCTGGGCGCCCACTACCCCAGCTCTCGCACCAGCACCTTGGAGCCGTGATGGACGACGTCCCTGTCCAGGGCTTTTTCAACCGGGCCGGGGCCACCTTCCAGCTGAAGGATGGGACCCTGGCCTATGCCCGGGTGAGGAGGCGTCTTTGTTTGGCCAGGAAGAACTTCTGGGACATGGGGCCGCTTCTGCTTTCTGCACCCCTTGATATGAGGTTGTCTTTGGGTGTCCCGTGACTCACTGTGCGTGGGGATGCCATGGAGCCCTTGGGGCCAGTTGTTATGTTTGATACCTGGTCAGTGGTTAAGTCCGAGAGCGAGGGAGGCTCTACCAGGGCTCAGCCATTTTTCTTTGAGGGCTGGATGGTAAACGGTGAGAGGAGTGAGCCTTCCAGGCAGAGTGCCGTTTTCGTGGTGGCTGGTCGGTGTCGGTCTTCTCAGTGGCTCTGTGTCCAATCAGCTCAGGTGCTGGTCTCCGGCTTGTTCTCAACCATTTGCGCTTTGCAGCTCAGCCACCTCTCTGATTCCAAGAGTGTCTTCAATCCCGAGTCCTTCAGGCCTGGTAACACGCACAAGTGTAGAGTTATTGACTACAGCCAGATGGACGGCCTCGCTTTGCTGTCTCTGCGGACGTGAGTCTAGCTACACACGGAGTTTTGGGACGCGCATCTGACTGTGGCACCCTCGGTGTCCCCTGGCCATGCTTGAGGGAGTTCCTTTCTTACCAGCATGACTGTGGTCACCCTGGGTCCTGGGCGGCCTCTGCCCCGGTCTGCTCAGTTGGGTGCTTTCCTTTCATGTTAGGTCTGTTATTGAGGCTCAGTTCCTGAGGTACCACGACATCAAGCCTGGGGCAGTGGTAAAGGTAAGGCCCCATGCGTGTGCCCTGCCTGTGGCATCCTTTCAGGCATGTCATTGTCAGCTCCCTGGTCCCCGTGTGAGCACTCGTAAAGGGATCTCCTTGTCTCTGCCTGCTGGCTGGCATTACTTTCTCTCACCTTGGGTAACTTCTAGCCAGTCTTAAGGTGGGGTCTAACTGGCATCACACAGCTGCACGGAAGGAGTAGCTTGTGTGTCCTGGGCCTTGGGGTGTGGTGTGTGTCAGACCAGATGGAAGTTGGTATTGTGGTACGTGACCTGTCTGGGAGCAGGGAGGCCGACTCTGGCCTCCTGGAGTGCCAGGCTCGCATCAAGCAGCGCCCTCTGGTGTGCAGCCCCTCCCGCAGGAGACCTGGGCCCTCCATGCAGGGGACGTGTCTAGGGCACACAGCATGCGTGTGCACACGAGGATGTGGGGGGCTTGTGACCAGCCTGCCGACGCCCTGTCTGTGGTGTAGGGTCGGGAGCGGCAGGTGTCGTCAGCCTAGCGGGTGGTCTTCCGAGGCATGGCAGCTCTGATAGGAACGGGGAGCTCTTGGTTGACATGTGTGGTCTCTTCGGCCCTAGGGCACCGTGCTGACCGTAAAGCCGTTCGGGATGCTGGTGAAGGTGGGCGAGCACATGCGGGGCCTGGTGCCTACCTTGCACCTGGCTGACGTCTTGATGAAGAATCCGGAGAAGAAGTACCCTGTGGGGGCCGAGGTGCAGTGCCGGGTGAGCCTTGGAAGGGTTCTGGTGTTGGTGGAGCGGGAGGGAGTGTTTTTCTTGGCCAGTTTCTGCCTTGCCTGTGATGTGAGCCCGTGATCTCTGTGGCATGTCTGGTGCCTGCCTAGCAGGAAGAGCAGGGCGAGTGCCTGTCCCTGAGAACAGTGAGTTAGGTTGGCAGTTGACATGACCACATGAGGAGAGAGGACGCTGCTGCAGGAGCTTGTGCGGCCTGGGTATGGGCTGCAGGCCATGCGTGGCATGTCTCCGGAGGGTAGGCTGCAGCTCTGGGTGCTGAGTGAGCCTAACGGGTGCCCAGAGTAGTCCTGTGCAGCGGCTGTGCTAGGACACGGTGAGCGTCACTTCCTTTCCTCCCTAAGCGACCCTGGAGCTGAGGCACTGTGACCTTCACTGTGACCTTCAGTTGGGAAGTAAAGGTGAGGAAAGCCATGTGTCCTGCTCCAAGCCACCAAGCTGATGTTTAGCAGGACCAGATTTCAGATTCAGCTCTGTGTGACAGGAGTGGCAGTGGTGGGACTTGAACTAGGAAGGGTAGGCAGGATTGGGAAGGGTAGGAAACAGCCCAGACAAAGCTGCCAAACACGGGTGGTTTATAACGGAGGCCCAGGTCTCCAGGGATGCCTCAGGGTTGTGAAGGGGAATTGTGATCATTGTGCCATGTGCTTAGCCAGGGCCTGGTGCACAGGCGCAGTGAGTGTGCTAGCTTTCCTTATGCGTGTTGTGTCCCGTCATGGCCTCAGTCAAGGTGGTGATCACCCATTGGCGCAGACTCTTACAGTAGCGGGGCTGACATTGAAAACCAGGGGTTTCTCTGCCTGGGGGGGAACGGTTGCGTTTCCCAGTCTTTGTTTACAGCTGCTGGAGGTGGTGCGTTGGCTCGGTCGTTGGTCCTGTAGGAGCATGCTGAGCCTGCAGAAGCGGCTGTAGCACTCGACCTGGGGGCTGTGAGTGGGAAGCGTGGCATTGGGGTGAGAGGGGCGTTGGCAGCCGTGGATGGAAGGCAGCGTGTATGATGGCGCTGGCCCACCCAGGCTGCTGTCCAGCAGGAAGCAAGTGGGTTCTCGGACGTGACAGTGGCCTCCATGGGGCTACAGAGCCAGCTCAGTGGGCCTCCTGGTGATGGATGACTTGGTGACAGCCAGTGCCCCTCCTAGGTTTTGCTTTGTGACCCTGAAGTCAAGAAGCTGATGATGACCTTGAAGAAGACGCTGGTGGAGTCCAGACTCCCTGCTGTCACTTGCTATGCCGACGCCAGGCCCGGGCTGCAGACGCACGGCTTCATTGCCAAGGTCGCCGACTATGGCTGCATCGTGAAGTTCTACAGTGATGTGCGGGGGCTGGTGCCCAGGCAGGAGCTCGGGGCCCAGTGCATCCCCCACCCAGAGAGGGTCTTCTACGCTGGCCAGGTAGCCTTCCCAGGATAGGCCCACCCCGATGAGCCAGAACACAGCTCGCAGGGGTAGGGGGGAGGGCCGCCCCTAAGAGGCTGAGAGAGGGCATATGTCGAGATGAATTCTTGCTGTATTGCCTAGTCTGGTCTCGAACTCCTGCACTCAAGTTACCCTCCTGCCTCAGCCTCCCAAAGCGTTGGGAGTACAGACATGAGCCATTGCATCTGGCCTGAAGATCCTTTTTTAAGACTTGGGTTGAGCCGGGCTTGGTGGCTCAGCCTGTAATCCCGTGCTTTGGGAGGCTGTGATGAGTGGATTGCCTGAGCCCACGAGTTCGAGACCCGCCTGGGCAACTTGGTGAGACCTCATCTGTACAATAAATCAAAAATCAGCTGGACGTGGTAGCGCACGCCTGTAATTCCGGCTACTTGGAGGGCTGAAGCGGAAGGATCGCCAGAGCCCAGCAAGTCGAGGCTGCAGTGGCCAGGAGCGGCCACTGCAGTCCAGTCTGGGCGACAGAGTGTGACTCCAACTCAAAAAAACAAAAAAGACTTGGGTTGTACCAGCAAGTTATCCGTGTCTTCCTTTTACCCAGAAGGTTGACTTGGGGGTCTAGTTCTCGGCATATTCTCGTCCCTGCCTCCTCGGCTGACCCTGCGGTGTGGTGGGTCTCCACACCTCCGGGCACTGGTGGGCTGACACACCTGGACTGGCCAGGCTGCTGGGAGGACTTGGCCCAGCCAGTGTGCTCTCGCCAGGTGGTGAAGGTGGCTGTGCTGAGCTGCGAGCCTGCCAAAGAGAGGATGCTCTTGTCCTTCAAACTGATGAGCCCCCCAGAAGCACCATTGGAGCTTGCAGGACACAGTCGGAAGAAAAGAAGAGCCATGAGCGTCGGGCGGGTACCTGGCTCTTTTCTTGTGGTGGTGGAGTGGGGTGGCATCAGACCAGGCTGTGCTCTGCTCAGGCGCGCGCCATCTTTTGTCTTTCTCTTGCGTGGCAGCTGGTGGATGTGAAGGTTCTGGAGAAGACCACAGAGGGGCTGGAGGTGGCCATCTTGCCGCACAACGTCCCTGGCTTCCTGCCGACGCCGCACTTGTCAGACCACGTCGCCAACGGCCCGCTGTTGCACCACTGGCTGCAGGCTGGCGACACCCTTCACCGCGTCCTGTGTCTGGGCCAGAGTGAGGGGCGCGCGGTATCCTTGGCGATGTCTTGGGCGGAGGGTGGCGGGAGGAGCCGCGGGCCTGGGTGGAGCTTTCTGGACCCATCTCTGCCCTGGCTAGAGACCCTGTGGAAGCACATCAGCCGTTGGCCCTCGGAAGTCCCCCCCGCCCCGGGGCCGACCAGTACTGTGGCCACACTGTGCAAGGCAGGCTGGGGTGAGGTGGGGCTGAGGGCATGCCGCCCGCCGATGCTGGCAGTCAGCAGGGATCGGGGGCACCGGGCTGGGAGGAGGTGGGGAGCCCCTGGGGCACATCTGGTCTTCTTGGGGCGTTCCGTGCTCCCTTGAGTCAGACAGTGGTAGCGAGCTTCTGGCTCTGCCCCTGCCCGCTTTCTCCTGCCGTCTGCCGCTCGGATGGGGCTCAGAGGGGCTCCCTTCAGTCTCGGTGAAGCTGCCGCGTCTTCACCCGGGACGTAAAGCACGGTCTCCTTGGGTGGAAGTAGGCAGAGGAGGGCCATGCAGGGGCCGGTCCAGCGGCCGCTCTGGGATGGGCCTTCCCTGGTCATCCCGTCACCTGGAGGTGTGTGAGTCGCCGAGGGGGCCAAGCCATGCGTGCCGGCCCCAGCCCAGCGGGTCTGGGTGGGCTTGAGGCAAGGCTGCTGAGGGGCGGCTTGCGGGACTCCGGGAGCAGCGGCCGTGCTGCAGGCCCGTCTCTCTCTGGGAGATGGAGGCAAGGGTGCGGGCAGCTCCTTGCCCTCCCTGGACCTTCCTTGACGAAGCTCCCCCCAGCTGCTTTGCAGGAAGCCGGCTTTGGTGTCCGCCGTCGCGGGGGGCCAGGACCCCGGGGCCTTCTCTGAGATCCGCCCAGGCATGCTGCTCCTGGGCTTTGTGAGGAGCATCCGGGACTACGGCGTGTTCGTGCAGTTCCCCTCGGGCCTCAGTGGCCTGGCCCCCAAGGCCGTAAGCTCAGCTCCTGCGCGGGGCCTTGTGGCGCCGAGGCGGCTGGCAGGGCGGGAGATGAGCACCAGGTGCCCCTGGGTGGGGGGTGGAGAGGTGCTGAGCCCAGCTGTGTTGGCCTTCTGAGAGAGGCCACCTCCCTCCACACCACGGGTGGGCGGGCACGGCCTGCGGGCTGCGGGCTCCAGCAAGAGGGTGACCAGGCTGCTTTCATCTGCGCTTCTGTGGATGTGGAGCTCGGTCTCCCTGGGCAGCCTGGGGTCCTGAGGCGTCAAGGGGCCAGAGTGTCCTCCTCCATGTCACACCTCTGCACTTTGCAGATGGGAGGGGTCCCTTGGTGGAACCTTCGCATGCCTGCTGGATACACCAAGACCCAGGGGCATAGTGCGGGTGTATTCAGTGCTCCTTCCTCCCCTGGGCCCATCTCCCTGACACTGCCCGGGAATCTCACGTACCCCCCGCTGCGAGAATTTTAAAGTGGGAGCAGAAGGGAGGGGCCCAGAAACTTGCCCAGTGAGGGTGACCACTGCCTTGGGCATCAGGGATGGTGGGCATCAAGGACGGGCCCCTCGGGAGGCAGGTTGGGCAGCCAGGGCTTCTGACTGGCAGAGGGCGTGGCGCTGCACCCAGAGGGCAGGGGCTTCCGGGCACGGCCTCCCCTCCTGGGCACGTGGGTGTGTTGTCTGAACGACCGCCTCCTTCCTCCCGGCTCCTGCCTCCTCTCCCGCAGATCGTGAGCGACAAGTTCGTGACCTCCCCCAGCGACCACTTTGTGGAGGGGCAGACGGTGGTGGCAAAGGTGACGAGCGTGGATGCGGAGAGGCAGCGCGTGCTGCTGTCGCTGCGGCTGTCAGACTGTGCGCTGGGGCCCGCGGCGCCCACCAGCCTCCTGCTGCTGAGCCAGTGCCTGGACGAGCGGCAGGGCGTGCGCAGCCTCATGGGTGCCCGAGGTGGGCCTGGGCTGGCGTGGGGGCGCCTCCCAGGCGGTCTCTGTGGGGGCGGGCAGCGCGCACACGACCCTGCTGCTAGGGAGCCGCAGGGCTTCTCGGGACCTGACACTTGGCGCACAGTCACCCAGTGTGACAGGCAGTGCAAGCACCCCTGTAGGGCCCTGTCCCCTGCCGGGGGGTTCAAGGCGTCCCTCTTTTCAGTGGCCTTGTGCTGCGCTGTGTGTGGATTCCTCCATCTCTCCACCTCGTCCCCGTGTTCTGTGACCGTGGAGTGGGTGGGGAGGCGGGGCTGGGACCTACAGGGCCTCCTGAGGGGCTGTCGTTCTGGCCCTCGGACCCTGGGCCCGGGTGTAGGAGGGCTGGAACTTGTGGAATCTGGGAGCACAGGGCTGGAGGGAGAGAACGAGCCTTCAGGCACACAGCCAAAACCCCGTGTCTCTGGTGCTGGCCGTTGTCGTGAATGACGGCCAGGCTGGGCTGTTACTAGGGGTGCAGGCCTCGGCCTGTGACAGGAGGGGAGACTGCCGGACATGCTTGCAGAAGTGACTCTGCCTCCTCGGTGGTCCTAGCGCTCCCCGTCCGCCATGGCAACGCTGTGCTTCCAGAGGAGAAGGATAGCGAGAGGGGCGTTCACGGCCCTGATCCATTTCCTTTTGGGTCGCTGGCAGACTCAGTGCTGGTCCAGACGCTGGCTCAGATGACCCCTGGCATGGTGCTTGAGCTGGTGGTACAGGAGGTGTTGGAAGATGGCTCTGTGGTGTTCAGCGGCGGCCCAGTGCCCGACCTGGTCCTGAGGGCCAGCAGATACCATCGGGCGGGTGAGTGCCTCTGTCTTGCCCGTTGTGGTGGGTGGGGGACCCTTTGCTTGTGGCTCCTGCCCCTGGACACGGGGTTTCTAAATACACGGGGTGGATTGCTGATTCAGGAGCCGTTTATGCTCGCCTGTCTCGTGTGACGCCACGGCCTAAGCATGAGTCCTCTGCTTGTTGTAATTGGATGTAGCTGGGTTTTCACATGAATGAAGGCCTGCCTGAGCTTGAACCAGGTAGACCTAGGACCTGTGTCCTCTTGCCTTTCTGGGCACCTGCACGGGAGGTAGGTTCTGTCCCTTTGCCCTGTCCCGGGATGGTGGTCACACTGTGTTGGTTCTCTGCTGTAGGGCGGGAGCTGGAGTCTGGGCAGAAGAGGAAGGTTGTCGTCTTAAACGTGGACATGCTGAAGCTGGAAGTCCATGTTTCCCTGCACCAGGACATGGTAAAACGGAAAGCTAGGAAGGTAGGCTTGCTCCCAGCATCTGTCCGCATGCCTCAGACGACACGCCTCTCTCCCACACTGGCAAGACTCCTCACTTGAGTGCCTGGGCCAGCTGAGGGCACGCCAGTGTATCCTGGTGTGCCCACCAGCACTGACTATCACTGGCTCAGGTAATGTCCGTGGTCACGCTCATCAGGCCCAGGCATGGATAGGAAGGAGTGGAGCTGGCCACGTGGTTCGGAGTGGCAAGACTGGGCCTCTGGGCAGCTGGAGATGGCGCCCAGCCTGTGGGACTGAGCCTGCAGCTCCATCCAGTGGATGGATGTCAGGTGGGAATACTTGGGCCTAGTGTTGCCAAGTCTTCGATTTTTATTGATTGACTGATTGATTGATTGAGTTGGGATGTCACTGTCGCCCAGGCTGGGGTGCAGTGGCATGCTCCCGGCCACCGCAGCCTCAACCAACTGGGCTCAGGCGATCCTTCCACCTCAGCCTTCCAAGTAGCTGGAACCACAGGCATCTGCCGCCACACCCAGCTAATTTTTATTTTATTTTATTGTAGAGACGAGGTCTCCAAGTTGCCCAGGCTGATCTCAAATCCCTGAGCTCAGGCAATTCTCTCGCCTCTGCATCCCAAAGTGCTTGGGATTATAGGCGTGAGCCACCACGGCTGGCCTAGTCTTTGATTAAAATTTTTTTGCTTGAAATGTTGAAAATGTTGGGAGCCAATTTTTTCCCTTTAACAAAAGACTTTGTACGAACCAAAGAAAGTGTGCCTGTGGGCAGTTGGGACCCCCAGGCTGCGAGTCCACACCCCTTTCTGCCCTGCCCCAGGTTGCGGGAAGTCTCAAGCCTGGTCTTTTTCTTCTGGGTGATGAAAGTGTCTGGTCATGGTCTAAATCAGCAGGCCCCAACCTGTCTGGCACCAGGGACTGTTTTGTGGAAGGCACTTTTCCATGGGTGGGACAGGAGGTCCTCAGGCACCAGATTCTCATAAGGAGCTCACAGCCTGCGTCCCTCACGTGCCAGTTCACAGGAGGCTTCCTGCTTCTGTGAGAGTCAAGTGCCGCCACTGATCTGATGGAGGCCGAGCTCCACTCGCCTGCCGCTCACCTCCTGCCATGTGCCCAGTTCCTGACAGGCTACAGCCTGGTACCGGCCTGGGGGTTGGGGCCCCTCTGTGAAGCATGTGTTGGGCACCTGATTGCAGAGAGCAGGGATGTCCAACCTTTTGCCTTCGAGTAAAGAGGAGTTGTGTTGGGCCACGCTTAAGTTATGTGATATACTTAGTGTATATAAGACTTGTCAAGGTGCTCGTCAGAAATGCTAGTTTTAACGTGATGTTAAAGATTCTGGGGACCGCATTCCTCGCTGTCCTGGGCCACATGTGGCTTGTGGGCAATAGATCACCAGCATGGAGCATGGTACGGTAGAGATAGGACCCTTAGGCTCTAGTCACCTGGGCTCTCAGGACTTTAAGAGAGAAGAAAAGAATGCCCCTTCAGCGTTCTAGCAGGACCCGTGACCATTTCATCACCCAGGTGAGACTCGGGCATGCACACAGGGAGTGCCCTGTGGATTTGAGGAACTCAAGGCTGGCGTCTGGCATGCGAGCTCCCGGGTGCGCCTGTTCGTTGGGTGGCTGGAGGAGGTGGCAGGACTGAGCTGGGATCCCCAGTGTCAGTGGGAGGGCACCTGGCTGTGGCTCACTAGAGCTAGGCTGGGTCTGGGAATTGGGATCCAAAGCAAGACAGAAACAGAGTTGGGGGTGTCCTGAAGCCACGGGCCGGGGTGTGACCACTCTGTTTCTGCCAGACTGCGTGCTAGTGCCTATGGGTTGTGAGGACAGCGGGCCGGCTTTCTCTCTTTCAGCTGAAGAAAGGCAGCGAGCACCGGGCAACCGTGCAGCACCTAGAGGAGTCCTTTGCCATTGCCTCCCTGGTGGAGACTGGCCACCTGGTGGCTTTCTCCCTGGCCTCGCACCTCAACGACACCTTCCGCTTCGACTCGGAGAAGCTGCAGGTGGGACAGGGTGTCTCGCTGAGCCTCAAGACCACGGACCCGGGCGTGACTGGCCTTCTTCTGGCCGTGGAGGGGCCAGTGGCCAAGAGGACCATGAGCCAGGCCCAGAAGGACTCAGAGACAGTCGACGAGGAAGAGGATGTGGATCCGGCTCTGGCCGTGGGGACCACGAAGAAGCACGCCCTGTCCATTGGGGATGTGGTCACGGGGACTGTCAAGTCTGTAAAGCCCACCCATGTGGTTGTGACACTGGCCGGTGGGGCCGTGGGCTGCATCCACGCCTCCCACATTCTGGATGACGTTCCGGAGGGTGCCACTCCCACCGCCACACTGAAGGTCGGAAGGACAGTCACAGCCTGCGTGATCGGCGGGCGGGACGTGAAGACGTCCAAGTACGAGGCTCTGGGCACAGGCTGCCTTGGCGGGAGGCGCTTGTTGTGGGGAGGAGGAGTAGAGGAATGTGGGTGGGCTCCAGAAAGTGCGTGCAAACCCGATTCTCTTTTAGTTAACTTAAGATGTTCACCGAAGAATCCTTTTGGCAGGTTTTTTAGAAATGTGGAACAGAGTGTAGTTTTTGGGTTTTTTTTTTCTTTTTTTGAGTTGGAGTCTCACTCCGTTGCCCAGGCTGGAGTGTGTGCTCCTGGTCACTGCAGTCTCAACCTGCTGGGCTCAGGTGATCCTTCTACCTCAACCTTCCAAGTAGCTGCACATGCCCCCACGCCCGGCTAAGTTTTTGACTTATTGTAGAGCGAGATCTCACCAAGTTGCCCAGGCTGGTCTCAAACCCGTGGGCTCAGGCAATCCACTCATCTCTGCCTCCCAGAGTGCTGGGATTGCAGGCTGAGCCACCGAGCCTGGCCCAGAGCGTAGTTGCTGAGAGTCAGACCTGGGTTTGAATTCCCATTGACTGTACGAGTAGCTACTGAAGTCTGAATTTTTTTCTCCTAACTCGTTAAGTGAATGCTGCTGGGGAGGGCCTTGTAGGGCCACTGCCAGGGCTGGAGGAGACATGCCCGCTGGTGGAACAGGCCCCCTACCCTGGTGGCTGTGTGGTGCACACATGCCAGCAGGGGCCACAGTCCACACTTTGTGGCAGTCCACTCCCGTGGACTCAGCACTTCATGCACCAGTAGTTACGGCAATGCACTCCACAGCAGCGACATGCAGGGCTTCGCTCCCGTCACTGCACGTGCCTGTGGCGGAAGTGCTGGCTGGAATGAGAGCCACTGGGGGTCTCAGTCTGGCTTCAGGACTTCACTGTGAGTCTCCGTGAGTCACTCGACTTGGGGTGTATCGTCGGTAAGGAAAATTCTCTTCGACCCAGAAGGGCAGGCCAGCCGGCTCCTTGTTATTGGCTGTGGAGGATGAGGACAGACGCCTCAGCCTGGCCTGTCTCTCCATGGTGCCGTGGCAATGGTCGCAGCCTTGGTTTGGTGTGGAGCAGGTGACCGCTTTACCAGACTGAGAGTGATTTGACTTACTTGTTTCTGCAGGTTTCTCCCAGTAAGTCACCCCGGATTTGTCCGCACCGTCCTGGAGCTGAGTGTTCGGTCAAGGTGAGGGGACTTGGCAGCATGTCTCCTGTGAGCTGGGAGGCCCAGGCTCCAGTCTTGTGCTGCCAGAGTTCGGTTTCTTGGCCTCTCTGTCTGGGTCCCTTGTTTCTCTGGAGGGATGCTGAGCTCTCCTCAGGCTGGGGGAGGGTCACATGAGACTCGGTGGGAAACTGCGTACAAACGTCAGTGTCCATGCACACCCAACACGTACAGTCCACGACAGGCCTGCATGTCAGTGTGTGACAGAAGGAAACATGTCTGCTGGACCTCGCAGTTCCCTAAGTGCAAGGATACCTGCATCCTCTGTGACTGCTCGGGACAAGACGTGCGCTGGTGTTTCAGGCCGTGCTCGTGGGGGCTGTGGGGCTCCCAAGAGCATTGAGGGGGAGACCAGGAGTTCATGTCATGCTGGCTCCGGCTTGTCGGGGGTCACGTTTCTGTGGACGTTCATCATTTTGGTCCGTGAGCCTGTGCGCGTCTGCCTCTTGCTGAAAAGAACCCAACGTGTCAGAGTGGTGCAGCTTTCGTGAAAAAAGCTGGAAGACGCACGTGGCCACGAGAAAGGTCCTGAGGACCAGCCCTGGGGCCTCCGGGTGGTTAGAAGGACCTCAGTGAGGACCCTCCGAGGGTGAGGCTGGCCAGCATCCCCAAGGGTCAGAGCAGAGGCTTGTGACTGACGGGAGGGGAGACACTCCTGGGTGTTGGGCTTCAGAGGTTCAAGCGACTGAGCTCTAGTTTCAGAGCAGTGAGCCTTGGCAGGGGAGCCACGCTCACGATGAGTCTGCTTCCTGCGTCGTGTACGTTTTGACGGTGTCCCTACAGTCTGTTGTGAAACGGAGGGGTCTCGTCACGTTATGGCGTGAGCTGCAATACCTTCACTTGCAGTCTCAGGCAATCCACTCACCTTGGCCTCCCAAAGTGCTGGGACTACAGGCTGAGCCACCGAGCCCGGCCCTTTTAAAAATTCTTTTCGGATACCATTTTACAGTTCCGCCAGCAGTGTGAAAGTGTTCTAGTTTCTCATGTCCTTGCCAACCCGTGACTTCTGATCTTGACTAGTGACTGTCATAATGGGTGCCGTGAGTGATGTCTCGTGTTTCTGTGATGATTAGGAGTGCTGGCCATCTTTTCATGCACTTGTTGGTCGTTGGTATATCTTCTTTGGAGAAGTGTCTAGTCAAGTCCTTTGTTCATTTTTTAATCGAGTTTTTTTTTGTTATCGATTTGTAGCCTAATCTCTTCTGAAGAGGACACTAGTGGTGTTGGGTTAAGGCCCGTCCTAATGGTCTCATCTTTTTTTTTTTTCCGCCTAGGCTGGAATACAGTGGCATGCTCATGGCATGCAACCTCCACTTGTTGGGCTCAGATGATCCTTCCGCTTCAGCCTTCCAAGTAGCTGAAGCTACAGGCGCGTGCTGCCATGCCTGGCTAATTTTTTGATTTGTGGTAGAGATGAGGTCTTGCCGAGTTGCCCAGACTGGTCACGAACCCCTGAGCCCAGGCAAGCCTCTCGCCTTGGCCTCCCAAAGTGCTGGAATGACAGGCCTGAGCGCCCGGCTAACAGTCTCATCGTAATTAGAAAGACCTGCCCCCAGATACAGTCATATTCTGCGTTACGGGGGTTGGGACTTCACAAGTGAGTTCTTGGGGGGATGCAGGCCAGCCCTTGAGCAGACGTGCGCTTTCGCCCTGACTGCACGCGCACTGGGGACAGTGCCCGGGGGTGGTGTGCCGCAGTGCCCAGCACACAGGTACCCATGTGCAGGTGTACTCTCTCCCCAGAGGGTGGACTCCCAGGGCAGCTTTGGCGCGCACGTCCCGCTCCTGCTTTTGTTCTTTGGTTATTCGTGCGGTCAGCCCTCCGTATCCTTCTGTGTCCAGGGCTTTAGCCAGCCGGGTGTGGAGGACGTCTGGGAGTGGAGGGACAACAGAGGAGCACACAGACAGAAAAACGCGGGGCGCGTCGACAGGATTGAGCGATGTTGGGTGTCGCGCGTGGCTGGGGTGGTCGTCTGTAGTGTATGGAGGTGGCGGTATGCAGACACCACACTGTCTCAAATGCGGAAGCTGGTTGTCCTCGAATTTGAGGGTCTGTGAGGGGTCCTGGAACCAGTCCCCTGTGGATCCCCAGAGACAGCTATACGCCTGTGCATCTACAGGTCGTTCTTTTGTGTGGTTTTAAAGTTAACATTAGTGATGTGCTGCATTTTGCGACTTGCTTTGTTTTGGGTCTGAGTTAAAACGCTGGTCTATCCTGTGACTGTGCCACACTGTTCTCGTGCTGACGAGGGTGCTGGGGTTGTTTCTGTGTTGCTTTTTGACAATAGTGCCGCGGTGAGCAACATGAACTTGTGCTGTGTGTGTAGCAAGTGGGTGGAGTTCCTGGATCGTGGGATGTCTGCACTTACACGCCATTATCCAGGAAAGCGCCCATTCCCACGTCACCAGCATGTGCGGGCATGGTACAGCCACGCTCTTGTGACCTGCCCGTTGCGCTGACATGGCCAGGTGGCGTTAGGAGGTCCTGGCCCTGGTGAGTGGGTGGCAGTGCTGTGATGCCTGCGAGGCGACATACAGGCTGGCCACACGGACTGCCCCCCTTGGCCCTGCTGAGAAGAGAAGAGGTGGTCGTGACGCGGGGCTCATGGGGACAGTGCTCTGGATCTGCAGTCGGCTGATCGTCCCAGCTCCTGCTGAGTGGCGTGAAACAGTGGGCAGCACCCTGCTGATGCTGCGCGGTTGAGCGGGCTGCCTGTGAGGGCAGTGCTGAGACGACAGCCCGAGCGAGTGTCGGGAAGAAGCCACGCGCTTGTTTCCTGAGCTCAGCGAGGGGCTGTGGCCGCCTGCTTTCCCGCTGGCTGCACAGAGGTGGCTGCGGTGGAAGTGGGCAGCCCCCAGGCGCTGTCCTGGGGAGAAGTCGGCACGTGGTGGGTGGGACTGGAGGAGTCCCGCCTGGCCACCCGTCCCAGTCTCACCCAGAGGTTAACGCTCCCTTGTCTACAACATAGCGAGCTGCAGGCTGGCTGCACAGCCCTTGACACCCACTGTGCAAGCCCCGTGGAGAAGGCCCGAGAGTACCAGGCCGGCCAGACCGTGACATGCTTCCTGAGGAAGGTGAGTGCCTGCCCCCATGCTGGCAGCAGGCTCGGTGTGGGGAGACCGTGCATGGCCTTCACCCCAGAGGGCCTGTGGCCTAGCAAGGGCGCTCCACCACAGCTCCCAGAGGAGCTAGCAGCTCGCCCCCACGTGTCAGTCGAGCCGTCGTTCAGAGGGAGGGAAGAGGGACGCAGGGCAGGGTGAACCCTGAGCGCATCCCGGGGCCAGACGCGCCTCTGAAGTCGCGGTGCCGTGCCGCATGAGGCAGGGAGCCAGGCTGCGGGGTCTGCCCCTCAGGGAAGAGGCCTGGGGGAGGAGGCTGGCCCGGGTGGCCTGGGGCGATGCCCTGGGTCCTGGGAGAGCCTGTGTCTCTGCGGGGGCGGGGCACTCAGTCTGCCCGCTCGGCTTCTCCTCTTCTCCCCAGTATAATGTGGTGAAGAAATGGCTGGAGGTGGAGCTGGGCCCGGACGTCCGGGGGAGGATTCCCTTGCTGCTCACGTCTCTCAGCTTCAAGGTTGGCGCGGGCCTGCGGAGCGCGGCGCTCGTGGGCTGCACAGTGGAGGAGGAGCCCCGTGCGTCTAGGGCCGGGTTTGGGGACGGGCGCTGCGGTGGGAGCCGCAGACCTTCCTTCGAGCACCAGAGGAACGTTCTTGTCCTTCCAGGTTCTGAAGCATCCGGATAAGAAGTTTCGGGCTGGCCAGGCCCTGAGGGCCACCGTGGTCAGCCCGGATTCCGGCAAGGCCTTCTTGTGTCTCTCCCTCATAGGTGGGCACGGAGGGTGCCTGGCTGGGGGGGGGAAGGCAGAGGGTCCTCCGCCAGGTGGAGGGTGCCTTGGGCGTGGTCCTCCGCCTGGCAGGAGGCCTGCTGGATAGTTTCTCCTGGGAGTGCCTCTGCCCAGTGCTCTCCTACTGTCCTGGTGTCCCCGCCCACATGGTAGCTTTCCCGAGTCCCAGGGAGGGGGTTAAATGCTTCACGGCCCCGGTGTCCTGGCCCATGGCATGTGACCTGGGTCGCCCAATCTGGGCACCTCCGCCTCTCTTGGCCTGCCCATCCCCCTCCCTGAGTCAGGCTGCTTTTGCCAGGTCCCCACAGGCTGGAGGAAGGGGAGGTGGCCATGGGCCGAGTGGCGAAGGTGACCCCTAATGAGGGGCTGACGGTGGCCTTCCCCTTTGGGAGGACGGGCAGGGTCAGCGTGTTCCACGTGAGTGACTCCTACTCCGAGGCGCCCCTGCAAGGCTTCGTCCCCCAGAAAGTCGTCAGGTGAGCCGGTGTCGTCCTCTTTCTCTGTGGCGCGTGGCTTTGTGCCAGACGAGACAAGCATGGGGCACAGGACGGGAACGCCTGCCTTCCCTCCCCTTTGCCTCTGACCCCTGGGGCCTTGCCCTCTGCCTCCAGGCTGCTGTGTTTCTTGATGTGTGGCGGCGTTCTGTCTCACGCCGCACTGCAGCCTGCTTTTTTCTCGTAGCGGCTTGCCTTGGACTGCTCCTTTTCCATGCCAGCACTTCGAAGTCTGTGCTGTTCTCTGGCCTTACTTAGCGTCCCGGGACGTGGCTTTGATCCAGGGTCGTCTCCCCAGCTCTCTGTTGGTAGTAGTGTGCGGGCACGCTTGCTTGCATGCTGGAATGCTCCCAGAAGTGACACGGGTGGGTCAGACGTGTTGTACGTGCCGCCAGACGACCCTCCCCGGGGCCCCTGCTGACCAGTCACCCGCCAGCAGCAAGTGTGAGTGCCACCCGCCCTCCAGCACCAGACACGCTTAGTTTCCATCTTAGCCGTGGGTCAGGCACAGACTGGTCTCACGTCCAATCTGCATTTCTCACGTTGGCCTTTTCCTGCGGTTGTTGGCCGTTCACGTTGGCTCCGTGCTTTGCTCGTCCAAGTTGCTCCTTTTCATATTGAAGCATGTTCTTTAAGTACTGATCTGTAGGTGTTTTCTGTAAGGGAGAGTGACCTTAGTTTGAGTCTTCGAGTTGTTTTTTTTTTTGAGTTGGAGTCTCACTCTGTCGCCCAGACTGGAGTGCAGTGGCTGCTCCCCGCCACCGCAGCCTCGACCTGCTGGGCTCTGGCAAAACTTCGGCCTCAGCCTTCCAAGTAGCTGGAACTACAGGCGTGCGCTACCACACCCGGCTAATTTTTTCTGATGTATTGGAGAGATGAGGTCTCGCCAAGTTGCCCAGGCAGGTGACAAACCCGCAGGCTCAGGCCGTTCACTCACTTCGGCCTCCCAAGGCACGGGACTGCAGGCTGAGCCTCCGAGCCCGGCTGATTGGAGTTGTTTTAGGGTCTGTATAACACAGCACATATGTAAGTCACTACTTGGAATATCTCAGTGCTTGCCAGAGCAGCCTAAATGTAAGGTTAATCGGCGGAGACAGTGGCACCTTGCGCCTGCTAGATGATCACTGCAAGCCTGGCACTGCACCAAGTGCCTGGCGTGTGATCACTTATCTGCCGCCTCCCCACCCCGTCAGACACTCCTGTCTTACCGATGCGCAAACTGAGGCATAAAATGTTCAATGGCTTCATGCAGATCACACAGCTAAGCAGTGGTTCCACCACCTTCACCACCACACCGCAAAGCCTCCCTGCGTCTGTTCTCGTAAACACTGTTAACTAAGGCATTTACTGTGCAATTACCTTCTTCGGAGTCTCAGGGCACAGGCTAGCCCAGAGGAGGCCGAGTTCAGCTCGAGACCCACGAGTTCGCTGGCAGAGCCTGGAGGCCAGACAGTGCCCTCCCCTCAGGGTTGCCCCGGAGGCCCCTGCCAGGTTCTCCGGGAGGAGGGGGAGAAGGGAAGGCGTCCTGGAGGCTCGCTGGGCCTTCTCGGGTTGTCTCTTGGCACTTCCAAGATGAGCTTGCGGTGTGTAGCCAAGTAGTTAAATGTGTTTTGTCGTGACCAAGGCCACGGCCGGTGGTGAGCTGCGTGTCCTCGCTGTCAGCTGTGGCGGTAGTTACTCACCTAAAGGCGGGTCCTGCACAGTCCCGTCCTTGGGAAGATTGCTGAGACCCTTCCTGCCTCCCTGACTTCACACTTTCCAGGGACAGCTGGGGCGGCTAACGGCCATTTTGGACAAAGCAACTGTAGCGATGTGGGAGTCAGCCCTGCTTTCCCTCCTGAAGTCACCCTGCTGAGGCCCCCCTCCTGGCCTCCTCCTGTCCTGGGGTGCCCGGGTTATCCCCCACTGGCCTCTTCCTGTCTTGGGGGGCCCGGGTCATCCCCCCCCGACCTCCTCCTGTCTTGGGGTGCCCGGCCCATACCTCGTCTTGGCTTCCCTGGGCTGGCGGCCTCTGCCAAGCTTGCACCCTCTGCATCCGCCTGGGCCGGTCTTGTCTCTGCGCGGCTCTGACCTCGCAGGACTGCCCCGTCTCCTCTTGCGGGTTCACCAGCACCTTTCCTGGGTGAGGCGCATCCGGGTGTGATTTTTACTTGGCAGACAGTCACCTGAGGCCCACAGGGGTGACACATGGGGCCCAAGTCCCTCAGCAGTTTTCAGTGAATGAAGCCTCGCTGCCTCGCCCTGCCATGGTGTGGGGGCTGGGGGGCGGGGAACTGGGCCCCTGCCGTGTCCCAGAGCTAAGATGGAGAATTCCTCCTACCCTCACTCCAGATGCTGTGTTCTGTCCGCCGCGGACGAGGAACTGATCTTGTCGCTGCGCCCATCCAGGTGGGTTTCTGGGTTGTGGGGAACCTCTTGGGAGCGAGGGGGGCGCACTTGTCCGCCCAGGATTCTAGGCTTCCTACCCTCTCTGCTTGACACCTGATCTCTCATCCTCTTGCCCAGAAAAGCGGGGGGTGTTCCCATCTGCTCGGGCCTTGATTCCGGGGACAGGTGCCGACAGCCCCACAAGGTGTCCTGGTGCAGGCGGGCTTGCTGGCGTGCCCTGTGCTTCGACAGGGGTGTTTTGGGGCGGGAGCTTGGCTGCATCTGCCAATGGGCCAAGGGCGCAGGACAGCGGGACCAGAGGTGTGAGTGGAAGTCCTTACTTCTCTAGAACAAACCCGGAGACCAAAAGCAAAGTCGAAGACCCCGAGGTGAACTCTGTGGAGGACGTCAGGGCAGGGCAGCTCCTGAGGGGCTACGTGCAGTCCGTGCAGCCACACGGCGTGCTCTTGGGGTGAGTGTGGCTGCCTGGCCTTGGCCTGCCTGGGGTGGGGTCCACCGCGTCCCGTGGTCAGCACCTCTGATGGGAATGTGAAGGAAGGAAGGGCTCCAGTTCCCAGCTGTCCACAAAACCCCACGATTTGGCCCATGAAAGAAGGTTTTGAGCCTGGGCACAGTGGCTGAAGCCTGTAATCCCAGCACTTTGCAAGGCCGAGGCGAGAGGATTGTCTGAGCCTGCGGGTTCAAGACCAGCCGGCAGTATGGTGAGACCTTGTCTCTACAGTGAATTAAAAATTAGCCTGGCCTGTAGTTGCGGTTACTTGGAAGGCTGAGGCGGAAGGATTGCTGGGTCAGCGCTGGGGTGGCCGTGAGTGTGCCACTGTACTCCAGCCTGGGCGGTTGAGTGGGACTCCACCTCAGAGGAAAAAAGAGAAAGCTTTGAGTGATTGGCTCTTGCTTGGTGTTTGGTCCAAAGACTGGCATTTCTCACTCTGTTGTAAACACACCTGGCTGTTCTCTGAGCATTCGCTTGCGGTCGCTAAGCGTCTCGGGGAGCGTCTGCAGCGACTGTGACCTGCGTGTCATGGTGCTGTGGGGAAAGGGTCCTCCGTCCTGCCTCCACTCTGCTTGGCAGCCACGTCGCCGGCAAAGCCCGCGGGGTCCTGCTGAGCACAGGGGCGCTGTCACGAGTCCTCGTCACACCTGGGTCCCCGGAGGTGCGGGCGCCCAGGTGGCTGGCGGCTGGCACGTGGTGCTGCGGGTGTGACTGCTGGACTCCTGTCTCTCCTTCAGCCTTGGCCCTGCTGTCGTGGGGGTGGCCCGGTTCCGACACGTCTCCCAGCGCAGCCTGTCCAGGAGAGCCCTGTACAGCAAGTACCTCCCCGAGGGGAAGCTGCTGTCGGCCAGGGTCTTGCGGTGGGTGCCGCCCCCTCCCTGGCTCCCCCTCCTGTGCCTCTCCCTCCTCCCTCCGCCGCTTCTCTCCCATTTCCTTCCCTCTCCCTCTCCCTCTCCATCCCTTTCCCTCCCTTGCTCTCTCTCCCTCCACCCCTTCTGTCCCTTCCTCCCTCCCTCCTCATCGCTCCCCCTGTCTCCCCCCTGCTCCTCTCTTTGTGGTGGGAGTCTGGGAATCGCGCCCCTTTCTCCTGGAGCACGGGGGGGAGACTTTGAGGCAGACTTCCAGCGTGGGGCTTGGCGCGAAGACCTGTGTATGGAGCCTCCTCCTCAGTCCTGGCCCCAGCCCCCGGAAACGTGCGGGGCTTGCCCCTGCAGGGCCCTGCTGGCGACGTCAGGACCTGCACTGCCCCGCGCCTGCCACCACGTGGCTGGCAAGCACCCCTTCTGGAGGAGCCAGCCAGGAGGGAGGAGTCGCGCCGCGCGTGGGGCCCTGCTTCCGTGCTGCCTTAACCCCCACCGCCCTCCGCCCTGCAGCCTCGACCCCCGGAAGAAGCTGGTGGAGCTGTCGTTCCTCCCCAGCGACACAGGGCGGCCGGACGTGCTCCCTGCCTCCCTGGGGCTCGAGGACGAGAAGGCCGAGGCTGAGGAGAGACCACAGCCGGGAGAGGAGGCACAGAGGCAGCATCGGGAGAGGAGCGGGGAGGACCCGGAGGGGCTGGCGGGGGCAGCGCTGCCCGATGAGGAGGAGCAGCCCCGGAGGCCGAGGACAGGGGAGCCGCGCAAGCGGGCGCACCAGGAACAGGGCGGTCAGGTGGGTCCCGGAGCATGGGGCCGCCCTGTCAGGAGGGGCGTGTGTGGGGCAGGGGAGGGAGGCGGGTCTCGGAGCTTGGTGCCGCCCTGCTGGAAAGGGGTGAGGGCAGCGGGTTCCGGGCAGCCCGGGGGCTTCTAGGCGCTGTTCGCTGTTCCCCAGGGGGCTGTGAGCAAGAGGCTGAAGAGAGCAGGCCCATGGGAGGACGACAGGGGAACGGACGTGTACTATCGGGAAGGAGAGGACACGGGAGGAGTTGCTGGGCCCCAGGTAAGGGGCCCCGGGCCCCAGGGCCGTCCCTGGCCTGGCCTTGCTTCCTGCTCCCAGGTGGGGCGGGGGCCGCGTGACCCTGAGCACACCACAGTTGAGGTGTGGGGGCGGGGGCTGATGAGGAGGCTGGCCCCCGAGGCTGCTCGAAGATGAGGACACAAGACCTGGACTTGGGCACGCGCATCCCTGCCCTGGAGCTGGTGGTGTGCCTCTGCCCAGCTCTGCCGTGGTCTGACAGATGTGTGTGCGTCTCACTGTGTGTGTTTTGACATTTTGTTGCCGAATTAGTAAAATGTTGGTGCTGCTTCTGGGAAGTGTCCGCAGTGGGCTGGGCCTGGCCTGGGCGTGGTGGGGTCCATGCTCCGGGGCTGGGAACCACGGCCAGGTCCCTTCCTCAGCGCCTCTGCTCCTCCAGGAGACACCATCCAGGCCAGTGGCCGTGCCCTGCTTGCAGCTGTCCTCGGGCTTCGCGTGGGACGCGGGGCTGGACTCCTTGGCCCCTGCCCTGCCACCTGGAGGAGAGAGCTCGGACAGCGAGGAGGACACAGAGCCACCCCAGGCCACGGTGCTGGACTTCCCGGGCCCTGTCCTGTTTGCGGGGACCCCTGGGCACAGCACCTGGGCATCTGCTGAGTGGGTGGGGGTGGCGCCCGGTCCCCGGGAGGTGCCGGGAAGGGCAGGGCTCACTGTCTGTCCCCCAGCAGAAGAAGAGCAGGAAGGAGAGGGCGCTGGAGCGGCAGCAGGCGGAGAAGGAGCTGTCCCGTGTGGAGGCGGCACTGATGGACCCTGCGCGGCAACCGGAGTCCGCGGATGACTTCGACCGCCTGGTGCTGAGCTCCCCTGATAGCTCCATCCTGTGGCTGCAGTACATGGCGTTCCACCTGCAGGCCACAGAGATCGAGAAGGCCCGCGCTGTGGCCGAAAGGGCCCTCAAGACCATCTCCTTCAGGTCTCAGGGGCCTTGGCGGGGAGTGTGGCGTCCTGCGCCATGGCCGGCAGTGTGTGTCCCTGTGGCCTGCCTTCTGGGCGGCTGGCGGCAGCTCGGGCTGCTGCCCTGACCCTGGGTGCTGCTTTCTCACGATGTGCCTGCGTGAAACAGATCTGCTCATGTATATTTCAGGGTCTGCTTCACTGCAGACGCCAAGGGCAGCTCGGCACGCACCCTGCGCACCCCCTTCCCCCGCCACCCTGCCCAAGGCCCTCCGCAGCCTTCCAGGCAGGGCCGAGGCGGGGCGGTGTTTGGAGGCCTGGGGGGCGGCTGCCCTGGCTTCCTTCCCTCAGCGTGGAGGCAGACAGGCCCAGGGTGGCTCTTCTGGCCCAGCCGCAGGCCTGAGTGAATCGGGCCTTCCTTGGCAGCCCCAGACGACTCCCCCGGAGCCGGGGCCTGTGGGCGGCAGCGGGGCCAGGTCCCAGGGCCCGCACGTGGCGTGGGTGGGAGCGGGTCGGCGACTTGGGCGCCCACTACTGCCCTTCCCCAGGGAGGAGCAGGAGAAGCTGAACGTGTGGGTGGCGCTGCTCAACCTGGAGAACATGTTTGGCTCCCCGGGGTCACTGGCCAGGGTCTTCGAGCGCGCCGTGCAGCACAGCCAGCCCCTCAAGGTCTTCCTGCAGCTGGCGGCCATCTACAGCAAGTCGGAAAAGTTCCAGGTGGGCATCGGGTCTAGGCGGGCCGCCGCGTCTCAGGACGCTGCCCCAGCCTCACCACAGGGCGGGCGCTTGGAGGTGCGTGCCGGGCGGCTGGTGCAGGCACAGGGTAGCTCCCTGGCGCCCCTGCCCCCGTCGCCCACAGCCCCCTCACGCTCCTTCTCCCCGAGCTGTGCTCCCCACACCTCGGTCTGCGATGAGCCCGGTTCGTGGCTGGCGTCTCTGAGTCGGCGTCTGGCCCGCCTCGCGGCCCTCCCCCACACATCACCACCATGCCCTCACAGGAAGCTGGCGAGCTCTACAACCGCATGCTGAAGCGCTTCCGGCAGGAGAAGACCGTGTGGATCCAGTATGGCGCCTTTCTCCTGCGGCGCAGCCAGGCAGACGCCAGTCACCGAGTGCTGCAGCGCGCCCTGGCGTGCCTGCCCAGCAAGGAGCGTGAGTGCCCGCCGGCCTGGGGCGGGTGGGGCTGGCTCTGGTCCCAGCGGCACTTCTCGGCCGGAGCCCCCAGCTGGGCCCCTGCGGGTGGTGTCCCCGCAGGTCTGGTGCTAGACTCCGAGGGGCGGGGGCAGGGGAGGCCTTTGCTGGCTCTGTTGATCGGACCCCCCTTCTCGAGGGTCCTCGCCACCCGTGTCCCTCATCCCGGTTTGGGTCTTGGTTCCGAGAGCGAGGACCTAGGCTTGCCCCTACCCCCATCTGTGCTGGGCAAAGCATGTGTGCGGGCCGCTGAGCCATGTCCTCTCCCTGCAGACGTGGATGTCATTGCCAAGTTTGCCCAGCTGGAGTTCCAACTGGGGGATGCTGAGCGGGCCAAGGCCATGTTTGAGAGTACGCTGAACACCTACCCCAAACGCACCGACGTCTGGTCGGTCTACATTGACATGGCCATCAAGCACGGCAGCCAGAAGGATGTCCGGTGAGCGGCTGGGGATGAGGGTGTCAGCCGGGCGGATGGCTTAGCGTGGGGCAGCTCCCGGCTTCTGCAGCCCTCCTCCCTGGACCCGTCGCCCCAGGTGGTGGCGTCTACTCCAGCCTCCTTTCCTCCGAGGCCGGCCTCAGTGCTGGGGCTGGAGCCGCCGGGGGAGTCCCGGGCCTCACTCCTGAGGGGCGTTCCCACAGCAGGGAGGGTCGGTGATGGGCTGGTGGGTCCGGGCCCGTGGCGCGCGTGGAGCTGAGCTCTCCTTGCCGCTCCACGCCTCTTCCGGGCTCACAGGTGCCTCTGGCGGGCCTCGTGGGGTCCCGGGCGTGGCGGGCCTGGCTCTGGCCGAGCGTGGGCCTGGGGCTGAGGCAGTGCCACCTGGGTCTCCTTACAGGGACCTCTTCGAGCGGGTCATCCACCTGAGCCTGGCGCCCAAGAGGATGAAGTTCTTCTTCAAGCGCTACCTGGACTACGTGAAGCAGCATGGCACTGAGAGGGACGTGCAGGCGGTCAAGGCCAAGGCCTTGGAGTACGTGGAGGCCCGGAGCGCCATGCTGGAGGACTAGTGGCCTCTGGGCCCGCGGTGTCAGCCGTGGATCGCCAGCCCAGCACCTTGCACCTGAGTGCTGCTGCTCCTGGGCGACTCTGGATGGGTGGGAGGACCGTGAGCTGCTCACTTCTCGGCTCACTGCGCTCCAAGTGGCCACGGGCATCGGTGCTTCCACCCCCAGGGCTCCTGGGCTTATGGCAGCAGGCTCTCGGGCTCTCAGGCTCCTTGGAGAGCCCAGCGTCCCTCCCTCCGGGAGTCCCTGGGAGCAGGAGCAGAGGACCCAGCCCCAGGTGTGTCCTGGTCGAGACCCCCCTCAACCCTGGCTACTCGGTCTAGCCGGCAGGCTCCAGAGGTCCAGCGGGAGGGTCAAGTCCACCCCTGGGTGCTGCTGCGGCCTCACCTAGCTAGAACCTCTGCCCTTGAGCAGAGGCTGGGAGGCCAGGCCAGAGGATGGGGCAGAGCCCGGGAGGGAAAGTGGGGCGACCCACCCTGAGCAAGCTTCAGCCTACAGATGCCTCCCTGGGCCACGGCCAGGTGACCTCGTCTCCACAGCTGTCCACTTGAGTCCCGGAGGCTGGCGCCAGCCCAGGCTTCTTGAGGCAGCTCTTTTCTGCCTTGGGCCTGAGGGAATAAAAGTCTTCTCTGGCAGCACCTTGACTGTCCTGAGTGTTTTCATGGAAAGTGACTGAGCCATGTGCCAGGAAGCGGCACGGGTTCCAGGGGACGTCACAAGGTGCAGGGGAGGGCTGGCTGACGGGCCGTGGGCCCTGGCTTGCTGTGAGCACAGCATCTTTTCCCGGCTCTTGGGACGTGGCCTGAGCTCTCTGAGAAAGGCCGGGCTGTCGCCAGACCGGGCCAGATGGCTCCCGTTGTGAGGAGAACTTGGCCCCAGGCCTCCGGGTGGACCCCGGTGCCCCTGCCCCACCGCCACCCTGTGGTCCCCGCCTCCCCATGGGGTGGTCCTGGCCCTGATCCCGCAGTGCAGCCTGCTGTGGCATGGTGCATTCACTCCTGCAGACACCAGGCGAGTCTGTACTACTGAGAAAAGCTTTATCAAAATTGTAAGTATAAAGTGCCCAGAGGTGTCCGAAGGAGGCGGGGCCTGGCAACACGCTACACGGTGTCCCTGTGCAGACAGACACACATTAGCCGCAGCACACTGTCCACAGGCCTGCTGGGGGCCTTGCTGTCATCTGGCTGTGCTGGGGTGGTTTCCCAGCACGGGGTCCCCAGTGGAAGGCCCCTCGTGTCATGAGAGGGACCTGAGGGCAGGCCGCCACGGGAAGGGTTGGGGCCACCTCGGGTTGGAGCCGCCAAGGGCTCACTGGCCTCCCTGCGCCCAGGCCGCCTCATGCCCTGTCCCTGCCCGTTTCCCCAGGAAGACAGTGGAGGCGGTCCCTTCTGGAGCTGGTGTGTGCCGGCCTGGCCCGGGAGCCAGGGCGGGCGGGCAGGCGGCCCTAGGAGGCCAGCAAGGCCATCTCCACGCCATCGGGGGCTGCGCCGTTGCCCGCCAGGCCCTGGGCCCACTTGTGCAGGCGGCTGTACAGTGGCAGGCCCTGGCTCTCGCGGTACAGGTAGACCCCGGTGACGGCATTCCACTGGGGCCGCGGCTGCGTGCCTGCCACGGGGAGGCTGGCCACCAGCTCCTCCTCCTCCTTGTCGAGGGCCACGAAGCCGAAGAAGCGGCGCACGTTGGCGGCGGCGAGGGCGCGTGCGTGGACCTCGGCTGTGCGCCGGAACAGGTGGTCCTCGCTGGCGCGGTACTGGGCCCAGTAGGCCTGCTGGCGGTGGCTGAGCGGCGAGCAGTAGTGCTGGAGGCACTTGGTCAGGAAGGCCAGCACGGCCACCGTGCCGATGAGCAGCCAGCCGAAGAGCTGCAGGGAGGGCCGGTCAGGGCGCCGTCCCTGCTGCCGCCTCACCTCCTGGCCTCCCCTGGATCCCACCAGCCGGCAGAGGCTGCCGCTGGGAGCCTCTGCAGGTCCCGGGGAGATCGGGCCAGGCCCAAGGCCTGGTTCCGCGACACGCCCACCGCCTGCCTCGCCGAGGTCACCATGTGCACGTCCCTGGAGGCTAGGGTGGCCGTGGCCATGCCTCGGTCCCCACTGCCCCCGAGGGACCTGGCATCTGGTCTGCGGCCTGTCTACACCCCCCGGGGCAGCCCTGCCCTGTCTCTCCACGGGCTCTTGTGTCACAGACCCCGAGAGGAGACCGGCGGGGAGAGTCCTGTGGCCTTGGCCTCCCCGCCCAGCCCGCGCCTAAGCCTGCAGACCCGCCTGAGTCTGGGCTGCCAGGTCTCACCCTGGTCTGCCCCGCCCCCGCCTTGTGGCCCCCAGGCCACAGCCTCTCGCTGCCCCGGCCAGTCCTGCCGGGGCTGAGGTCGACCCAGAGCGGGCCTGGGGCACACGTCATCCCGGGGCCGCCACACACCACCCCACGGGGACTGCCGGGGCAGAGCCTCCCCCGGGACAGCCACGGCCAGTCCAGGCCAGGAGGGCATGACTTTGACGTCTAAAACGGTCTCTCGCCTGGTCACACCTACGTGGGATTTACAGTTTGAAAAAACAAAAAAGAACTTACAGGCTCCAGGAGTGAAAAGAGTTCGGATAAGTGTAGAGCGCGTGGCCTGGCGGGAGCACGGCCCCAGCAAGCTCTGACCCACAGGCGGCCGGCCCGA